GTCAGCAATCATTGTGAGGAGAATGGGGCAGCCGTTACAACTTATTTTTGGGAAACAGCTTTGTCCTGTATAAAATGGCGTTGCTCAGGTTCCAGCGGTAGCACAGTAAGTACTGTCTGGAGCCTGTAGCTTTGATACCACAGTTGTCACTGTTTTAGTAAGGCGGATAAATCAGGTGCTGATGGTATCCCTACTTTTGGGATGGGATGAAAACCAGTTATCTGGAGTCTAGATAAGGTTGCCAGAGAAAACACCCAGTTAAGTCAGGATTTCAGATAAGCAACTTTTTTTTTTTTTTTTTTTTTTTTTGGTATACATATGTTCCAAATGTCACTCATTGTGTATCCAGAATTTAATGGGAATCAGCACCATCGGGAATTGGATTTAAGGAAAACAGCGAATAGCTTTTTAAGTTTATCCCAAATAGCATTCATTGTTGACCTGAAATTCAAATTTAACTCAGCATCTTGTATTTTTGTTGGTTGAATCTGGCAACGCCATCGATGTGGACCATCACCGCTTGCTCTCTGCCTTTACTCTTCTTCAGTTTTCTCAGGGGTGCTGAACAAGACACATGAGCTAGGTTCAGCCCAATTGACTGATCCTTAGATTGCCAGAAGGTGGAGTTACTATTTTCAAAATCTTACTGGTTTTCTTACAGAAATAGGTGCTTGCTTTTTAAGTGAAAAGATGTTTGCATTTATAAATCTCTTTTCCCTTTTTCCCCTTCCCCTGCTCACTGAAAGAAACTACCTGAGGCCAGGTGTGGTGGCTCACACCTGTAATCCCTGTAGTTTGGGAGGCTGAGGCGTGCGGATCACCTGAGCTTAGGAGTTCGAGACCAGCCTGTCCAACTTGGTGAAACCCTTTCTCTACTAAAAACTACAAAAATTAGTGGGGTGTGGTTGTAGGTGCCTGTAATCTCAGCCGCTTGGAAGGCTGAGGCAGGAGAATTGCTCAAACCTGGGAGGTGGAGATTGCAGTGAGCCGAGATCACATCATTGCATTCTAGCTTGGGCAACAGAGTGAGACTCCATCTCAAAAACACCCCCCAAAAAACAAAAACAAAACCAAAACTACTTGGGTCTTAGAGACACTGCATGTCTTGGGTATTGCTGTCTGATGGGGGTCAGGAGAGAAAGCAGACTTCGAGCCGAGCAAAAGACTCTTTGAGTTTTTCTGAGCAGGATGTTTTGAAGGCCCATCACAGGGTAGAGAGGGCTCAGAAAACTTCTGGACAGTTACCTTTTGCATTTAGAGTTGTCTTCATCTGTTCCTGCTGCTATAAGAAAATAATTTATAAAAAACAGAAATTTACTTCTTGCAGTTCTAGAGGCTGGGAAGGTGCCGGCAGATTCAGTGTCTGGTGATGGCTTGCTCTCTGCTTCAGCAGTGGTGCCTCTTGCTGTATCCTCATGTGGCAAAGGAAGGGCAAAAAGAGCTGAAGTTGTTCCATTTTCCGCCTTTGCCCGCCCGCCTTTGCCAGTCTTTTTTATTCTTTTCTTCCTCCTTTGCTTCCTCTCCTTTCCTTGTTCTTTTTTAGATGGAGCCTTGCTCTGTTGACCAGGCTAGAGTGCAATGGCACAATCTCTGCCTCCTGGGCTCAAGTGATTCTCTTGCCTCAGCCTCCTGGGTAGCTGGGAGGACAGGCAGGCACCACCAGGCCTGGCTAATTTTTTGTATTTAGTAGAAACAGGTTTCACCATGTTGGCCAGGCTGGCCTTGAACTCCTGACTTCAGGTGATCTGCCCACCTCGGCCTCCCAAAGTGCTGGGATTACTGGTGTGAGCCATTGTGCCCAGTGTGGGTATAGTATCATCTTACTGTGATTTTAATTTAAATTATCCAATGAGTCATGCATTTGGCCATTGGGATAACCTCATTTGTGAGATGCCTGATACTGCATTCTGCCCATTTATAAAAATGGAAATGTTTTCAGTGCATTTGTTGGGTATATTGCTGTAATTGTTCAATTAGGTCAGATTGGTTAATTATGTGGTTCAAATATTCTATATCTTTATCATTTTCTGTTTGTTCCCCCAGTTATTGTGATGTGTGTTTAAATCTTCAACTAATTATTATTTTAACTGTATTTTTGTGTTACATATTTTGAAGCTATACTTTTAGGTACATACATATTAGCCTGCTATATCTTCATATTGAAATTCTCTTCTTATAAAATGTCCTCTATATTTAGTAATTAATTTTGCCTTAAAATCTACTTTGAATGTGATACAACTGTACCCACTTTCTTCAGGTTCGGGTTTTCATACTGTATTTTTTCATTATTTAACTTTTTCTTATTATACTTTAAGTTCTGGGCTACATGTGCAGAACATGCAGGTTTGTTACATAGGTATACACATGCCATGGTAGTTTGCTGTATCTATCACCCCATCACCTACATTAGGTATTTCTCCTAATGCTATGCCTCCCCTAGCTTCCCCACCCCTCAACAGGCCCCGGTGTGTGGTGTTCTCCTCCCTGTGTCCATGTGTTATCATTGTTCAACACCCACTTGTGAGTGAAAACTTGCAGTGTTTGGTTTTCTGTTCTTGTGTCAGTTTCCTGAGAATGATGGTTTCCATCTTTATCTATATCCCTGCAAAGGACATAAACTCATCCTTTTTTATGACTGCATAGTATTCCATGGTATATATGTGCCACATTTTCCTTATCCGGTCTATCATTGATGGGCATTTGGGTTGGTTTCAAGTTTTTGCTATTGTAAACAATGCCGCAATAAACGTGTGTCTTTATAATGGAATGTTTTATAATCCTTTGGGTATATACCCAGTAATGGGATTGCTGGGTCAAGTGATATGTCTAGATTTTCATTATTTTAAATGTTTTATGCACTTATATTTAAAGTATACCTTTCTGTATCTGATCTAGTTTAACAGATGTTCTCCTTTAATTGAAATGTTTAGTTGATTTACACTTACATAATTGACACATTTTAGTCTCAGCACATCATCTTGTTTTCTGTTTATTCCATCTGTTTCCTCTTATTTAATTTCTCTTATCTTTGTTTAAAGTTCAGCGGTAGGCATGCAGGCGTGTTACATAGGTAAACTTTTGTCATAGGAGTTCGTTGTTCAGATTATCTCATTACCCAGGAGTTAAGCCCAGTACCCATCAGTAATTTTTTTTTTTCCTGCTCCTCTCCCGACTCCGCCCTCTGATAGACCCCAGTGTCCCTCTGTCCATCCCTCCTTTGTTCCCCTCTGTGTGTCCGTGTGTTCTCATTTGAATAAATATATTTTATTCACGTTCTGTTAACTTTTTGGTTATACATCCTTTAGTCTTATGATGGTTATCCTAGAAATTGCAATATTAATCTTTTTTGTTTGTTTTTTTTGAGGCAGTCTTGCTCTGTAGCCCTGGCTGGAGTGCAGTGGCTCACTGAAACCTCTGCCTTCCAGGTTCAAGAGATTCTCCTGCCTCAGCCTCCCAGGTAGCTGGGATTACCGGCGCCTGCCTCCATGCCCAGTTAATTTTTGTATTTTTAGTAGAGACAGGGTTTCACCATGTTGGCCAGGCTGGTCTCGAACTCCTGACCTCAGGGGATCCCCCATCTCAGCCTCCCAAAGTGCTGGGGTTACAGGTGCGAGCCACTGTGCCTGGCCTCAATATTCATCTTTGACTTTATTTAGCTTTTTGTATTTCGCTCTCTCCCTTTATCATTGTCTTCATATTTTATTCTGTGTTACAAATTCCACAAGATGATGATGTCAAGAGTCATTTTTCCTTTACATTTATCCTCATACTGATCACTTCTGGCTATGTTTTTTATACACTTCCATCCTTTCCTCTGATAAACTACTTCTTAGGTATTTTTGCGTGATACACATACTGATGGCAGCAAATCCTCTCACCTGTTGCCTGGAAACATCTTTATTTTGTCTTCCTATGTGAAGGACAGTTTCACTGGCCACACAATCTAGGCTGGCAGGTTTTAAGAATAGCAATTTAGGTTGAGCGCAGTGGCTCACACCTATAATCCCAGCACCTTGGGAGGCCGAGGCAGGCAGATCACAAGGTCACTGGATCAAGACCACCCTGGCCAACATGGTGAAACCCCATCTCTAGTAAAAATACAGAAATTAGCTGGGCTTATTGGTGTGTGCCTGTAGTTCCAGCTACTTGGGAGGCTGAGGTGCGAGTATCACTTGAACCCAGGAGACCGAGGTTGCAGTGAGGAGATGGCACTACTGCACTGCATCCTGGTGACAGAGCAAAACTCCATCTCAAAAAAATATATAGCAATTTAAAGATGTCATTTCATTCACTTTTATAAAATAGAGATAAACCTCCTATGCCTTTGGTTGTTGACAGAATAAAACAAAGGTCACAGTGCACAGTGTAGAGTCAATGCTTTGTATCCTTCTTGGCCGAGTGCCTCGTATGTGCCAGGCTCTGTTCTAGGCAGCACCTAGAACACTCAGGTGATACAGCCAAGAGTAAGATAGGCAAGGTCTCTGTCCAAATGGAGTTTACCTTCTTGCAGAAGGGGGACATAAATAAGTGTACAGGCTGGGCATGGTGGCTCATACCTGTAATCCCAGCATACTGGGAGGCCAAGGTGGGTGGATCATGTGAGGTCAGGAGTCTGAGACCAGTCTGGCCAACATGGCAAAACCCCATCTCTACTAAAAATACAAAAATTAGCTGGGTGTGGTGGCATGCACCTGTAATCCCAGGTACTCAGGAGGTGAGGCAGGAGAATCTCTTAAATTGGAGAGGTGGAGGTTGCAGGGAGCTGAGATTGTGCCACTGCACTCCAGCCTGGGTGACAGAGTGAGACTCCATCTCAAAAAACAGAAGGGGACCAACACAAATAGCAGGAAGTACCGCAAAGAGAAAATACTCAAGACAGTGTGAGGAGGTGATATTTATGGGTTATGATTTCAACTTTCTCCCTCTCTTCCCTAGGTCCCAAGTGTCCTGTGGATGTAGGAGTCCTTTGTTGAAGTGAGAAATTGTACCTGTTGGGCAAGATGAGCTTTTTCGTAGCCACCTCTGCAGACAATGGTACCAATGATGGTCTTCTGCCTTACCTGATGGCCCTCGATCAGTATCAGCTGGAAGAATTCAAGCTTTGCCTGGAACCCCGTACGCTGATGGACTTCTGGTCGGCCCCCCAGGGGCACTTCCCGCATATCCCCTGGGCAAACTTGAGAGCTGCTGACCCCTTGAATCTGTCCTTTCTTTTGGACGAACACTTCCCAAAAGGTCAGGCATGGAACGTGGTCCTTGGCATCTTCCACACAATGAATCTGACCTCACTGTGTGAGAAAGTTAGAGCCAAGATGAAAGGTGAGAGTCCTTCAGACGGACAGTGGGAGGGCGGCCCAGCACTCCTGAGAGCAAGGAGGTAGCTGCTGGGTTTTCATGGAGTCCTTCCACTTTGCTGATCTCCCCCTGCAAATCCTCCTTGATGATCTAAGACAGTGTAACCTTTAAAGGCATAAAAGCTATAAAGATTTAGTGCTGTAGCCTGGGAAGAAGTAGCAAAGTCAAGAAAGGGAATTGGAAGAGGCACATTCAGTTCTGTTATAAGACTTCTTTCTTTTTCTTTTTTCTTTTTATTTTTTGAGACCGAGTCTTCTCACTCTGTTGCCAGGCTGGAGTGTGGTGGTGTGATCTTGGCTCACTGCAACCTCTGCCTCCTAGGTTCGATCGATTCTTCTTTCTCAGCCTTCTGAGAAGCTGGGACTACAGGTGTGCACCACCAGGCCCAGCTAATTTTTGTATTTTTAGTGGGGACAAGGTTTTGTCATGTTGGCCAGGATGGTCTTGATCTCTTGACCTGTGATCCACCCGCCTCGGTCTCCCAAAATGCTGGGATTACAGGTGCAAGCCACTACACTGGGCTGGTTTCTACCTTTTATATTTAAATCTGATCTCTTTTGGGTTGGGTTTTTTTTGTTTTTTTGTTTTTTTTTTTTCTGTGTAAGGCGTAAAGTTTAGGTTGCTGTTTTTTTTTTTTTTTTTCTGCCGGTAGATCTCCATCGGCTCCAGCACCATTTGTTGAAAAGAGCTCTTTCTCTATTGAATTGCTTTTGCATCTTTTTCAGAAGTCATGTGGCCATACTTGAGTGGAGAGTTCATACATTTCAAAGTTATTTCATTATGTACACAAAGGTTTAAAATCACTATCTATTCTTAGTTCATTGCATTTTTTATTGCGTAGGAGTCCTTTCCCAGTAAAGCATTTTTTGTGGGGGGACCTTTAAGACAAGGCCAAACGTTTCCCTCTGCATTAGCAGCGAGGTTTAACATGCAAAGGGAACAGAGACGACATTGACTGACCCACAGATCTGTGTGCACATCGCTGGTGCTTCCTTACGTCCAGGGTCTGCTAGGTTTTGGATAAAGACACTAAGTGAATCTAGGGAGCCTGGGGGTGTCCAGCTGGGTGTAGGAAGGGTGGGCTGCTTACCTAAATCATGCTCCTCTAGCACTTAAAACACACTCAGATAAGTGCGCTTCACCAGAGAACAGGAATGCCTAGGCATGGCAAGTGACCCATGGACTTCCTAGGCCTGCTCTTGACTATTCTTTTATGTCCTTGCAAAGTTCCCTAACCACTGGGGAGAAAAAGCAAAAAACAAGTTTTGTGTGTTTTTTGTTTGTTTGTTTGTTTGTGAACAAAGAGTGAAACAAGGCTTAATTTCACTCTTGTTGCCCAGGCTGGAGTGCAGTGGCGCAATCTTGGCTCACCACAACCTCTGCCTTCCTGGTTCAAGTGATTCTCCTGCCTCAGCCTCCTGAGTAGCTGGGACTACAGGCGTCCACCACTGTGCCCAGCTAATTGTATTTTTAATAGAGATGGGGTTTCTCTGTATTGGTCCGGCTGGTCTTGAATTCATGACTTGAGGTAATCTTCCTGCCTCGGCCTCCCAAAGTGCTGGGATAACAGGTGTGAGCCACTGCATCCGGCCAGCAACAACTAATTTTTAACCTTCATTTTCTCTTTGAAGCCATGCGCCAGTCCTGCTAGGCTGCTCATCTGGAACAGCCTGGCTCTTCTAAGTGGTCCCAGCTAAATGTAGAGTCTTGTACTTAATGTATTAAGATCCAGGTGGTGATACCTGATACTTGACAGTAAAGTTATAACCTGCAAGGCTCACATGATTGGATTTGTTTGCAACGGAGGAATGCAACATGTCAAATAGTTGGCTTCTGGATAAACTAAGCCAATGATGAGGGGAAAATCATCAACTTTTCCTTTGCCTGGGCTATGCCCAGAAAAAGGTTCCCACCTGGGTTCCCTGCTTCTAGGAGGGTTAGAATTCAGAACAGACCTCAGCTTGAAGAATGTGGACATACGTAGGGATCACAGATTGCACAGGTAGGATTTGTGGAGCTTCAGAGAGTTGGGATCCTTTAGCCCAGGCTACCATGCGTGGAGAATGACGATTCTTGTTCTTTGAAGGAGTGGTTCTTCAAAGGAACATGGAGCATCTGGAGAAAGTACAGGACTCAGCTCGCTAACCAGAACAAGCCATGTAAACAGTGATGATCAATGGAGTTCAAATATTAGAGCCGTGTCTGTTGAGATGCAAATCCCTCACGAGGTGCTGGCTCACAGCAGCTGTGTACTACACAGTAAGATGAGCTGGACCACTGTGAGTCATAGAAGACGTCTTCTAGCTCATGAGAAAGGGGACATTCAGAGTGGGTGTGTGCAGTGCCTTGAGGGCTTGGTTTGAACCCAATTCTTGGTGCTTTGATTCCTATGGTATTTTATTCCAAAGATACTAGGATGGCTTCTCTGTGTGGGGTACTGTTCTACACACTTGGAATGAATTGATGAACAGTGACCTACCTAGACAGGTCAGAGGCACAATAAATAAGTTACATGCTGTGTTAAAAGGTGAGAAGTGCCAACAGAGGGTAGGGCAGATGGGAGAGGCTAAGGGATGTGATTAAGGAGATAGGTGGTTCCCGTGATTAGGCTTCTCAGAGATGAGGTTTGAGCAGAGCCGTGAGAGTGAGTTAAGCAGATGTCTGAGAATCCAGGCAGGCAGGAAGGCTGGAGCCAAGGCTCCGAGGCAGGATCGTGCTTAGCGCGTGCTGTGGGCTTTCCAGAGTTCACGTTGCATCTTCAGTCAGGTTATTGGAGCTTGAGAAAACTGGGAGAATCAGACTCTAAATCTCTAGTTTGTCATAGGAGCTGGTTCTACTGAGAGCCTCCGTTATTGCTGGCCCCTTTTCAGTGTGGGTCATTTTTGTATATTGTCATCACTGTTTATTTCAGGGAATGTGCAGACCCAGGAGCCCCAAGATGCAACCCAAGAAGATGCAGAGATGCTAGAAGCAGCAGCAGGTGTGTACACTACTTTAAGTTGATAACAGACAGGTTGCTTGATGAAGCACTTATTCACTGGTCCACATTCGCTGCCTACTCTGAAATTCCTTGAATTTATACTGCATAAAAAAATTAAAAACTTTGCAACTAATTATTTCAGTGTTGCTTATTAAATGATAACTTACTGTAAACGGGGCATACTGATTCCCCCAGTCCCTTCAATCTCGTTTGCTGTAGTAAAAGTTGGTTCCACTGGGGGCTTCTGTTATTGCTGGTCTGTTATCAGCCTGGGGTATTTTTATATCTCATCATCACTGTTTATTTCAGGGAATGTGCAGACCCAGGAATGCCAAGATCCAAACCAAGAAGCAGAGCAGCTGGAAGAAAAAGCAGGTGTGTATACTACTTTATGGTGACAATTGACAGGTTGCTTGATGGAGCACTCATTTCATTGGTCCACATTTGCTGCCTGTGCTGAAATTTCTTACATTTATACTACATAAAAAATTAAACACGCTTTCCATCTAGTTCTTCCAGTATTTCTTATTAAATAATAACTTATTCCTGGGCATGGAGGCCCACACCTGTAATCCCAGCACCTTGGGAGGCTGAGGCAGGCGGATCATTTGAGGTCAAGAGTTTGAGACCAACCTGACCAAAGAATGAAACCCCATCTCTACTAAAAAGACAAAAACTAACCAGGCATGGTGGTGGGCACCTGTAATCGTAGCTACTCAGGAGGCTGAGGCAGGAGAATTGCTTGAACCCAGGAGGCAGAGGTTGCAGTGAGCCCAGATCGCACCACTGCGCTCCAGCCTGGGCAACAAAATGAGACTCTGTCTCAATAAATAAACAGAAAATATAAAGTGGGCATTCTCTGATTCCTCCAGTCTCTTCAATCCCGTTTGCCATGGAAAGAGCTGGTTCCACTGGGGGCTGCTGTTATTGCTGGCCCATTTTCTGTCTGGGGTGTTTTCTTATCTCATAATCACTGTTTATTTCAGGAAATGTGCAGACCCAGGAATGCCAAGATCCAAAACAAGAACCAGAGCAGCTGGAAGAAGAAACAAGTGTGTACACTACTTTATGTTGACAGTCGACAGATTGCTTGATGAAGCACTCATTTCATTGGTCCACACTTGCTGCCTATGCTGAAATTTCTGGAACTTACAATACAAACTCTTTCTATCTAGTCCTTCCAGTATTTCTCACTAAATAATAACTTAAGGCTGGATAGAGTGGCTCATGTCTGTAATACCAGCACTTTTGGAGGCCAAGGCAGGAAGATCACTTGAAGTCAAGAGTTCGAGACCAGCCTGGCCAATATGGTGAAATCTCCTTTCTTCTAAAAATAAAAAAGTTAGCCAGGCCTGGTGGCATGTGCCTGTAATCCCAGCTACTTGGGAGGCTGAGGCAGGAGAATGCCTTGAACCTGGGAGGCGGAGGTTGCAGTGAGCTGAGATTGCACCACTGCTCTTCAGCCTGGGAGACAGAGCAAGACTCCATCTCTTAAAAACAAAAAATATAAACTGGACATTCTCTGATTTCTCTGAAATTTCTTCACTCTGAAATTTGCCATAGAAAGAGTTGGTTCTGGCTGGGTGCAGTGGCTCACGCCTATAATCCCAGCACTTTGAGCAGCCAAGGTGGGCAGATCAGGAGGCCAGGAGTTCAAGACCAGCCAGGCCAACATGGTGAAACCCCATCTCTACTAAAAATACAAAAGTTAGCCAGGCCTGGTGGCATGTGCCTGTAATCCCAGCTACCCAGGAGGCCAAGGCAGGAGAATTGCTTGAACCCGAGAGGCAGAGGTTGCAGTGAGACAAGATGGTGTCATTGCACTCCAGCTCTGGGTGACAGAGCAGGACTCCGTTTTGGAGAAAAACAAATAGAGTTGGTTCTACTGAGAACCTCTATCATTGCTGGCCCATTTTCAGTCTAGGGTATTTCCATATCACATCATCATTATTTATTTCAGGGAATGGGCAGACGCAGGGTTGCCAAGATCCAAAGCAAGAAGAACCAGAGGAGCCAGAAGAAGCAGGTGTGTACACTACTTTGTGTCGACAGTGGACAGGTTGCTTGAGGAGCACTCCTTTCACTAGGTCCTGAGTAGAGTTGCCTCCTACTCTGACATTTTCTTCCATTTTATAATGAAGAAATGAAAAATTCTTCCCAGCTAGTTGTTCCAGTGCAACTTACTGAAAAATAAGTTACTATAAATGGGATTCTGTAGTTTCCCATTCATTCTCAGACGTTGGTGTCTACTTCTGGACTTTGTGCTTTTGTTACATAATTGATATTTAGATTACTTATCAACAGGTTAATTAATAGGCATCTATAGGTTTTGTACCAGTAATCCCATGAAGATGTTCACACTGAGAAAGTAGGACGCACATTCTAGTACTAAGTTTAGTTTTATCAAAGAAATGCATGTGCATGTATATAAGCCCCAAAGAGTCACAGGGACATACAGCCTGTAATGCAAAGCATTGATCCTTCTGCCCAGCTCTTGATGAGGTCTGCTCTGCAGGGACACCCACCCACTGCTCTTGGGGGCCACTTCTGGTATTTGTTTCTATGGTTCTAAGTGATTTACTATTTCCTGCTTTTTCTTAGTTTTCTAATGAGTTACCTACTGACTTCTTGTCATGGTAGGTATCTCTCTTCCCTGCTGTCCTTCAATAATATTACTTCTCCTGTATGTGGCAGCATCAGCATTCAGTATCCTGGGCATACAAATTGATGCTGAGTCTTGCAGTGAAGGTTCTGTGCGGCAGTACTTTCCTAGGGCCACTGCTAACCAATTTTATGACGAACTGGGTAGCTTACAACAACTCTTCAAGAGAGAGGCCAAATGATAGGGTTTGGCTGTGTCCCCACCCAAATCTCACCTTGAACTGTAGCTCCCGTAATTCCCATATGTAATGGGAGTAAGCTGGTGGGAGGTTACTGATTCATGGGGTGGGTTTTTTCCCCACTGTTCTCATGATAGCGACTAAGTCTCATGAGATCTGATGGTTTTATTAAGGGGAGTTCCCCTACACACACCCTCCTGCCTGCTGCCATGTAAGTTGTGTCTTTGCTACCCCTTTGCCTTCCTCCATGATTGTAAGGCCTCCCCAGCCATGTGGAACTGTGAGTTCATTAAACCTCATTTTCTTTATAAATTGCCCAGTCCTGGGTGTGTCTTTAAAAGCAGTGTGAGAACAGACTACTCCGAATGACTGAAATCAAGGCGTCGGTACAGCCACGCTCTCTGGAAAGGCTCTAGGGGAAGATCTGTTCTGGTCTCTTCCAGCTCTGGTGGCTGCCAGCATTTCTTGGGTTGTGGCCCCATCACTCTCATCTCCACCTCTGTGGTCTCATTGCCACCTGCTAAGTCTTCTCTGGGTGTCCGTGCCTCATCTCCCTGTGCTCCTACTTTGAGAGGGTATGTGCAAGTGTATTAGCCCCCCAGACAATCCAGGATAAGTTCCTCTTCTCCAGATCCTTAACCTAATCACTTTCTGGGATACTATCAGGTAATATTTATTCTTTTGCCATATACCTTTCTATAGATGTGTCATGGTTTATATTAAACCTTTTCTTGTTGACAGAAATCTAGGCTTCCAGGCTTTTGAAAATACATTAAGCAATACTTCGATAAATGTCCATATCATATTGTGCATAACCACAAATGTTTTCTTAGAAGACATTGGTTATTTTTTTGTTTTTTTCTTTTTGTTGTTTTTTGAGATGGAGTCTCACCTTGTCACGCAGGCTGGAGTGCAATGGCATGATCTCTGCTCACTGCAACCTCTGCCTCCCAAGTTCAAGCCATTTTCCTGTTTCAGCCTCCTGAGTGGCTGGGATTACAGGTGCACACTGCCAACACCTGGCTAATTTTTTATATTTTTAGTAGAGACACGGTTCCACCGTGTTCCCTAGGCTGGTCTTGAACTCCTGAGCTCAGGCAATCCACCTGCCTTGGCCTCCCGAAGTGCTGGGATTACAGGTGTGAGCCACCACGCCTGGCCAGATCATCAAACTATTTAACTGTCTTCACTTTCTACCACTGCATTCCCACAAAACCCTGGAAGGCAGAGTTTGTCTTATTCAAGTCTTTGGGTGGGAACCTTGTAATTGAATCATTCCTAACTCTGAAATTTATTCTGACCATTGTTAGGTCTGTCTGTCTCTCTCTCCCACCTCACTTCTGCTTTAGACCACAGAAGAAAATACAGAGAGAAAATGAAGGCTAAAGTGTTGGAGAAATGGGACGACATCCCTTGGCCTGAAGACCACGTGTATATCCGTAGTACATCAGAGGATGAACACCAGGAACTGCAGCACCTGCTGGATCCTCACGGGACTGGAGCCCAGGCCCAGACCATAGTCTTGGTGGGGAGGGCAGGGGTTGGGAAGACCACCTTGGCAATGAAGGCTCTGCTGCATTGGGCAGATGGAGTTCTCTTTCAGCAAAGGTTCTCCTATGTCTTCTATCTCAGCTGCCATATGACGAGGTACATGAAGGAAACTACCTTTGCCAAATTGATTTCTCGGGATTGGCCCAATTCTGATGCCCCCATTGAAGAGTTCGTGTCTCAGCCCGAGAAGCTCCTGTTTATTGTTGATGGCTATGAGAACATGATCGCAGTTGAGCCAGACTCTGATGGGCTGGACGATGGCCCGCCATGTACAGACTGGTACCAGGAGCTCCCGGTGACCAAAATCCTACTCAGTTTGTTGAAGAAAGAATTGGTTCCCCAGGCCACCTTACTGATCACAATCAAGACCTTTTATCTGACAGATCTTAAGGGCTTGGTGGTGAATCCATGCTTTGTACAAATGACAGGGTTCACAGAGGAAGACCTGTGGGTCTATTTCATGAGACACTTTGATGATTCAAGAGAAGTGAAGAAAATCCTACAACAGATAAGAAAAAACGAAACTCTATTTGATTCCTGCAGTGCCCCCATGGTGTGCTGGATTGTATGTTCTTGTCTGAAGCAGCCGCAGGTGAGGTATTACGCGCTCCAATCAGTCACTGAGACCACCACCAGTCTGTACGCCCACTTTTTCACCAACTTGTTCTCCACAGCAGAGGTGGATTTGGCAGATGACAGCTGGCCAGGACAATGGAGGGCCCTCTGCAGCCTGGCCATAGAGGGGCTGTGGCCTATGGCCTTCACATTTAACACGCAGGCCACTCAGCGCGAAGGCCTGGAAGTGCCTTTCCTCGATTATCTCTACCAGCTCAATATTCTTCAAAAGGTCAGTGACTGTGGGGGTTGCTTTTCTTTCACCCACCCAAGTTTGCAGGAGTTTTTTGCAGCCCTGTCCTTTGTGCTGGAGGAACCTGAAGAATTCCTTCAGCATTCCGCAAAGTATGAAGAGATGAAGCTGTTACTGCAGGATGCCTTGGTTAACAAAGAACCCTATTGGACTCCAGTGGTTCTTTTCTTCTTCGGTCTTTTAAACAGAAACATAGCGAGAGAACTGGAAGATACTTTGCATTGTAAAATGTCTCCCAGGAAAATGGAGGAATTATTAAAGTGGAGGGAAGAGTTAGATAAGGCGGAAAGTGCCTCCATCCAATTTCATGTTCTAAGATTTTTTCACTGCCTACATGAGTCCCAGGAGGAAGACTTCGTAGAGAAGATGTTGGATCACACCTTTGAAGTGGACCTTAATATTTTGAGAGACAAAGAACTCAAAGCTTCTTCATTTTGCCTAAAGCAGTGTAAAAGGTTGAATAAGCTAAGGCTTTCTGTTGGCAGTCACATCCTTGAAAGGGACTTGGACACTCTGGAGTGAGTAATACAGAACCATTTCTTCCTCAACTTTCTCCTGTTTTCTCAGGCTCTGTGCAAATTCTTTCATGCAAAACTGGGGATTTGTTGTCGTTACGTATCACTGGTTATTTCTGACCAAACGTTCTCGAGCAGCTCCATCTCGAAAGAATATTTTCCTTTAGGCATCATCTAGTTTCTTAGATAATTTAATTGATCTACTTAGAGATTTAGATCTTTATATATTTTATTGTTTGTTTTTTTATATGGTGTTTTGCTCTGTTGCCAGGCTGAAGTACAGTGGCACAATCTGTACCTCCTGGGTTCAAGCAATTCTCCTGCCTCAGCCTCCTGAGTAGCGGAGATTACAGGCACATGCCATGACACCCAGCTAATGTCTTTGTATTTTTTAGCAGAGACAGGGTTTTCCCATGTTGGCCAGGATGGTCTTGATCTCCTGACCACGTGATGCACCCATCTCTGCCTCCCAAAGTACTGGGATTACAGGTGTGAGCCACCACACCCAGCTCATACTTATCTTGTCATCATTCCTGAAGCAACACAGTCTAACCACTATTTACAGAGCATTTACATCATGTTGGATATTGTAAGTAATCTAGCGATGATTTATGGTATGTGAGAGAATAGGCTTAGGTTATATGGAAATACGCCATTTTATTTTTTTATTTTTATTTTTTGAAACAGAGTCTTACTTTATCCACCGGGCTGGAGCGCAGTGGCACAATCTTGGCCCACTGCAACCTCCACCTTCCAGGTTCAAGTGATTCTCATGTCTCTGCCTCCCAAGTAGCTGGGATTACAGGTGCGCACCACCATGCCCTGCTAATTTTTGCATCTTTAGTAGAGATGGGGTTTTACCATGTTGCCCAGGCTGGTCTCGAACTCCTGACCGCAAGTGATCCGCCCACCTTGGCCTCCCAAAGTGCTGGGATTACAGCCGTGAGCCGCCACCCTCGGCCAGTATGCCACTTTATACCAGGGACTCGAGCATCCTCAGATTTTAGAGTACATGGCAAGTCCTCAAACCAACCCCCACAGATACTGAGGGATGGGCTATATGTCGATATGTATTGGATGTAATTGGTCATGTCGTAGAATCCCTAAAACATAAATTGGGAACTTCTTTAGACAGGATTCAGTGTGGGACATGCGACTAACTGCTCTTAAAACGCTTCCCCAGGAATAATTTCATTTATTGTGAGGATGATAACATCATCATTCCTCTTTTTACGTATGTTCACCCCGCAATTTAAGATTTCATGCCTTCCCAAAAGTTGGTACTAGATATTCTGATGCTGTGGTCATTTGCCACTTGTCCATTCTTCATACCTGTTTCCTCAGTAATTTTAAATGGACTCTATTATTACCGAGTTAACTGGGATATTTAACACAAGAATGAGCATGCATGCATGCCCATGTCACCATGCATGCATCTCACAACTTGCCAAAAAGAACACCACAGATATTTCTGGTCACCTAAAACCAAGTTTATTAGTCCTACTTCAGTAAGGGAAAGACACCTTATAGAGTCGAGTCATGTCTCAGGAGCAGGAAGCCAGAGGAGGATGTCTGTGGAGTTTCAGAACCTGGGGTGAGTGATGATTGGGGTGGGTGGGTGAAGATTGATTGGGGTGGGTGGGTGATGGATCTTTAAGGTGGGTGACTTGATTTTTTTTTTTTTTAAGGTGGATGATTGTGTTTTGTAGGGGTGGGTGGCTGATTTGAATGTGTTTGGTAGGGGTGGATGATTGATCTGATTGTGTTTGGTAGGGGTGGGTGATTGATTTGAATGTGTTTGGTAGGGGTGGGTGATTGATTTGAATGTGTTTGGTAGGTGGGTGATTTGGTTGTGTTTGGTAGAGGTGGGTGGGTGATTTGATTATTTTTGGTAGGGGTGGGTGGGTGATTTGATTGTTTTAAGTAGGGCTGGGTGATTTGATTCCGGTTTTTTTAGGGGTGGGTGATTTGATTTTGGTTTTAAGCATGGGTGATTGATTTGATTTTGTGTTTTTTAGGGTTGGGTGGTTGATTTGTTTTGTGGTTTTTAGGGGTGGGTGATTGAATTGGTTTTGTGTTTTTTAGGGGTGGGTGATTGATTTGGTTTTGTTTTTTTTAGGGGTGGGTGATTTGGTTTTGTTTTGTTTTTTGGGGTGGGTGATTGATTTTATTTTTTTTTCAGGGTGGGTGATTTTTTTAGGGGTAGGTGATTTTTTTTTTTAGGGATGCATTTTTTTTAGGGGTGGGTGATTTTTTTTTTAGGGGTGGGTGATTTTTTTTTTAGGGGTGGGTGATGTTTTTTTTTCTGGGGTGGATGGTTTTATATTTTAGGGGTGAGAGATTTTATTTTATTTTTTAGGGGTGGGTGATTTTATTTTATTTTAGGGGTGGGTGATTTTTTTGTTAGGGGTGGGTGATTTTATTTTTAGGGGTGTGTGACTTTAGGGTTGGGTGACTTTATTTTATACATAGTTTCAGGGGTGGGTGATTTTATTTTATTTATTTTTATTTTTTCTTTTTTTTTGAGACGGAGTTTTGCTCTTGTTACCCAGGCTGGAGTGCAATGGCACGATCTTGGCTCACCACAACCTCTGCCTTCTGGGTTCAGGCAATTCGCCTGCCTCAGCCTCCTGAGTAGCTGGGATTACAGGCAAGCGCCACCATGCCCAGCTAATTTTTTGTATTTTTAGTAGAGACGGGGTTTCACCATGTTGACCAGGATGGTCTCAATCTCTTGACCTCGTGATCCACCTGCCTCGGCCTCCCAAAGTCCTGGGATTACGGGCTTGAGCCACTGTGCCTGGCCAATTTTATTTTATTTTTTTAGGGGTGGGTGATTTTATTTTACTTTTTTTAGGGGTGGGTGATTTTATTTTACTTTTTTTAGGGGTGGGTGATTTAACTTTTTTTTTTTTTTTTTAAGAGGTGGGTGATTTATTTTATTTTTTAAGGTGGGTAATAAAAGGTAGATACTGGTTTGGATTGGCCAGAGTTCGACATAACTGCCCTGCACTGTAGGCCAGAGTCTTGAAGCAAGTGTTGAGAGTTAGCCTGGGCAAGTAAGCCAGGCACTTGGGTCCTTGTCTTACTGTCCAAGAGCAGCTGTTCCCTAGAGCAGGTAATGAAGGTGTTTTTGTCTGATTCCAGTATTAGTTGGGAAGAAAACAGTCTTGTGTGCTTTGTCCCAGATGGCCGAGTACATGGATATTAAACCACACATTGGTTTCAGTTCTCAATTCCTATCCTTGGGACATTCTGATTAAGCAGATCTGAGATGGGTCCGGAAATCTTTATTTGAAAATAGACATGTGTGTATACCTCCTGCTGCACATACGTGTGCACACCCCCAAAGCTAGAAACACTGCTTCAACAGTGCACAACTCTGGGTTTGCAGGGTAAAACTGCAAATCCCCCTTAAGCACTTAAGAAACATTTCTTCTGTTTTACCTCCCTCATCTCTTGTGAAATAAAAAGTTTGACTTAAGACTTTCATACTTGATTATTATTCTTACTAACATTCAGAGCCTATTGGATTAGGGAATTTTTTTTTTTTNTGTGTGTTGCTCTGTTGCCCAGGCTAGAGTGCAGTGGCATGATCTCCACTCACTGCAACCTCTACCTCCCAGGTTCAAGCCATTCTCCTGCCTCAGCCTCCCGAGTAGCTGGGACTACAGACACACGCCACCATCCCCAGCTAATTTTTGTATTTTTGGTAGAGACAGGGTTTCACCATGTTGGCCAGTGTGGTCTCGAACTCCTGACCTCAAATGATCTGCGGCCTTGGCCTCCCAAAGTGCTGAGATGCCAGGCGTGAACCACCGCACCCAGCCACATGAAAATTCTAATAATTTTCTTAGGGCTTCTTTCTGTGTCCTGGAGGTTGTATTCTGGGTGTTGCTGAGGCTAATCTGCTCTAATCTGCATTCTCTCTCCTTCATGAAGCACAAGCATGGTCAGTTCCAGGATGCACGCGTGGAACAGTATTTGCTCTGTGTTGGTCAGAAATGAGAATGTGCGTGAACTGGACCTGAGTAACAGCAAGCTCCATGCCTTGTCCGTGAAAGCTCTATGTCTTGCACTAAAAAATCCAAGATGCAAAGTCCAAAAACTGACGTAAGTGTGAGACACTAGCAGTTCAAGAGGGTACGCTAGGAGAATCACCCCACTTCTCTCTTGATTCGTGCAGTTGGCTATTTTCCAGGAGGGAAGCCAGGTGCTCAGCAGAGTAAAATAAACTGTGCTTGTATTTATGAAAGTGCTATATCAGGCAAAGTTGGCTGAAATTTTTAAATGTCGATCTATCACGAATGATCTTGCACTGGAGGTACTTGTAATTTTTCCTTGGGACCTCAGTCCTGCCGTTTTGAGCTGGATTTGAAGGAGTAGAAAATGTCTAGGATATGGTGGAGGCAAAGCACTTGAGAAGAGCTACAGACAGGTGTAGTCTGTGAGAACTGTTTTGTGTTAAAAAGTAGGTAGTATTTGATGGGTCACTCCTGTGTTGAGTGAATATTGGGCATCTCTGTGTGCCAGGTTCTGCTCTCAGGTCTGAGGTTCTAGCAGTGAAGCCAACAGATAAGTCGTGCCATCAGGGACCTTACATGTGTCAGGGGAGCAAGCAAAATAATCGTAATAGCATCCGAGAGGGTGCCATCTTCCAAAGAAAGGGAAAACCAGGGGCTCAGAAAGGATGTGTGAGGAGGGTGGCTTGCATTTTTTAGGTAGGAAAGGCAGAAGGGCCTCACTGAAAAGGTATTTGAGTAAAGACTGACTTGGCTCATTGTAGGGGAGGAAGAGGGACTGTGCCCGCGGACACCTGGGAAAAATATCATTCCAAGCCGAGAAAACAAGACAGAAGGCACTGTGGAGAACACGTGCCCTCCATGAGGAGACTATACTTAGTAATACCAAGAGGGGCATCACGGGGCGTGGGTGAGCAAGGGGGAGTGTGCTCTCCGGAGCTGGAGCACCGTTGTGGACTGAAGCACATTGGTCCCCTGCTAATATGATCCAAGAAGGAATGAATGACAGGGTGTCAGATCTGGCTTGAAGATAGGAAGGAATTAGCAAATGGAGGTGGACCTTGTATAACCACCAAGGGGGAGAATGAGCTGTAGAGGAGAGAGTAACGCCTAGTGTTGAATCCGAGGTGGGATTTGTTGGAATGATCTGGAGTCTTGGCCAATGATTTGTCTTGCTTTTCCCCCACCATTAGGGCTTACTTTCAAGGGCTAAAACCTAGATGAATATATTGATTCAACCAGTTAAGTGTGAAAGATTTGATCATAATGACTTTCTTCAAACCTCAGTGTATCGGGTGAGCTGGACCAAACCCACAAGAGACAGCTATAAGTGGCTGTGGCCGTGGCCTTCTTTTATTTTTTTAATACTTTTAAGTTCAGGGGTACAGGTATATGTTTGTTACATAAGTAAATGTGTGTCATAGGGGTTTGTTGTCAAGATTATTTCATCATCCAGATATTTTTATTATTTTTTTAATTACTCTTTTTTTGAGATGGAGTCTTACTCTGTCACCAGGCTGGAGGGCCATGGCACGGTCTTGTCTCACTCCAACCTCCCCCTCCCGGGTTTAAGTGATTCTTCTGCCTCAGCCTCTCGAGTAGCTGGGATTACAGGTGCCCACCACCATGCCCAGCTAAGTTTTGTATTTCAGTAGAGATGGGGTTTCACCATGTTGGCCAGGATGGTCTCGATCTCCTGACCTCGTGATCCATCTGCCTCGACCTCTCGAAGTGCTGGGATTACAGGTGTGAGCCATCACACCTGGCCTCATCTCGAAGACACTAATCCCAGTACCCATTCATTATTGTTCCTGATCATTTTCCGTTACCCACTTTTCCCAGCAGGCCCCAGTGTGTGTTGCTCCCCTCTGTGTCCATGTGCTCATATCCTTCAGCTCCGACTTAAAAGTGAGAACATGTGGTATTTGGTTTCTGATCCTGCATTAATTTCCTAAAGATGAGGGCCTCCAGCTCCATCCATGTCCCTGCAAAGGACATGTTCTCATTCTTTTTTATGGCTGCATAGTATTCCATGGTGTATAGATACCACATTTTCTTTGTCTAGCCCATCACTGATGGGCATTTAGGTTGATTTCATGTCTTTGCTATTGCAAATAGTGCTGCAATCAGCATACATGTGCATGTGTCTTTATAATAGAGCAATTTATGTTCCTTTGGGCATATATCCAGTAATGGGATTGGGCAGTCTTTTTAAATTTTTCTTTTAATATTTAAATTTCGATCTTATATAGCTCTCAAGGAGAAAAGTTCCAGAAAATACAAGATAATTATTCTTGCTGGGCTTTTCTAGGTTGGACTGTATGTGTGTGGGGGGGGGGGGGGGGGGATCATTTCCCAGAAGAGAGGCAGCCCCAGGACCTCTTCACCTCAGGTCTCTAGGAGAGTGGGGGAGGGAGGGAGAGGGATTCCTGACTTAGTACATCCAACTGAGCTTACTGACTTTCTGGGGAGTATTTTTTAGTTTTTATTCTCAAGGTCTAGTACCATGACTCGGCCCTTGTTTTTTTGATTCCTTGTGTCCCTGTATAACCTTGGCAGTGGGTGTGGTGGAGGGCAGCATGAGGTGACAGCAGGATCCTGGAAACCAGTCTTCTCCCTCAATCCAGCTTTTGTGTCCCTTCCTGTCTGCAGGTGCAAGTCAGTAACTCCTGAGTGGATTCTCAAGGAGCTCATTCTTGCCCTCCAGGGTAACAGCAAGCTGACCCATCTGAACTTGAGCTCCAACAAGCTGGGAGAGACTGCCCCCCTGATTCTTAAAGCCTTGAAACACTCAGCCTGCAAACTCAAGTATCTGTGGTAAGTCTTTGGCTCCCTAGATCTGTCAGGGGGTTAAGAGAACACCCCTAGCTTCTATGATCCATTGGGAGGGCTGACAGCATTAAGCACTGTAGCAAAAGGAGACAGAAAAATGAGCAAAGGAAAAATTTCCTATGTGTCGAGAAGTAGTTCTCAAATTTTACTGTATATCAGCCTCACCTCGGGAGAGGTTATCTTTTTATTTTGTTTTGTTTTTGAGACAGCGTCTCATTCTGTTGCCCAGGCTGCAGTGCAGTGAGGTGATCTCGGTTTGCTGCAACCTCTGCCTCTTTGGCTCAGGCAATCCTCCCACTAGAGTCCCAAGTAGCTGGGACCACAGGTGTGTGCCACCACACCCAGTTAATTTTTGCACTGTTTGCAGAGATGCGATTTTGCCATGTTGCCCAGGTTGGTCTTGAACTCCTAGACTCAAATGATCTCCCTGCCTCAGCCTTTCAAGTGCTGGGATTATAGGCGTCAGTCACTGTGCCTTGTCCAAGCTAGCTGGTGTTTTAATGTACAGATTTCAGGAACTCAATTGCAGAGACCCTGCACGTTTGGGGTGGGACCTGAGAAAGAGGGGTGTGTGTGTGTGTCAGTCGTCTCTCACTCTGTTGCCAGGCTGGAGTATAGTGGTACTATCTTGGCTCACTGCACTCTGCTTCCTAGGTTTAAGCAATTCTCCTGTCTCAGCCTTCTGAGTAGCTGGGACTACAGGCGCCCGCCACCACACCCACCTAATTTTTATATTTTTAGTAGAAAAAGGGTTTCACCATGTTGGCCAGGCTGGTCTCAAACTCCTGACCTCAGGTGATCCGCCCACCTCGGCCTCCCAAAGTGCTGGGATTACCGGCGTGAGCCACTGCGGCAGGCCGAGAATGAGCACTTCTAACAGGCTACCAAGTCATGCTCTTGCTGGACCACAGACCACACTTGGAGTAGCATTGACATGCAGGCCATCCAACCTCTGAAAGGGTTGAGGAAGAGGGAGAAAGTCAGCTTCTGTTCATGGAGCAGATCACTCCTTCCAAGAGTAACTAATGGTCTATCTCGGGGCCTCTGTGTTAGGTTGGAATCCTGTGGTCTTACCCATCACATTTGTCAGCAATTTCTCACGCTCTCCAAGAACTCGAGTCTGAACTTCCTCAGCCTAGGGGACAATGATCTCTCTGATATGAAAAGCCTGAGGGGGTCCTCCACACTACCAAATAATCCCCTGACGGAGCTGTCGTAAGTCTTGCTGCCTTTCCAAAGCATCTTCATTGCAAGTTTGGGTGGCACAGCAGGGGTGGCATTGGGGTGTGTTTTGGGGAACCTCAGGGGTCCACCTACTGTGTTTACTTATCACATTGACATGCTTTTCTTTTTTTCCCTTTTCTCTTTACTTTTCTAAGATAGAGTCTTGCTCTATCACCCAGGCTAGAGTGCAGTGGTGTGATCTTGGCTCACTGCAACCTCTGCCTCCTGGGTTCGAGTGATTCTCCTGCCTCAGCCTCCTGAGTAGCTGGAATTACAGGCAGACCCCACCATGCCCAGCTTTTTTTTTTTTTTTTTTTTTTTTTTTTTTTTTTTTTTTTTTTTTTTTTTTTTTTTTTTTTTGTTTTTTTTTTTTTTTTTTTTTTTTTTTTTTGTAGAGATGAGGTTTTGCCATGTTGGCCAGGCTGCTCTTGAATTCCTGACCTCAGGTGATCCACCTGTCTTGGCTTCCCAAACTACCAGGACCACAGGCATGAGCCATGGTGCCTGGCGTCTTCTTTCTTCCCACCACTCAATGTGGGGCTCAGTTCCAGCCAGCTTTGCCCTCTCTTGATCATGGCTGTCCGAGCAGGCAGTCTTTCTTTGCATAATCTCCTTAGGCTTCTTTGATCCTCCCCAGATCTAGGGGTTTTCAACTGATTTGATTTTGCCCCCCAGGGGACATGTGGCAATGCCTGGACACCATGGTTGGTTGTCCCAGAGGTGCAAAGGATGCTATTGATGGGTAACGTCTAGTGGGTAAAGGCCAGTTATGATTGACGTCTGGTAATGCACAGGGTGGTCTCATTCTGCACCTAGGTGTGATCCAGCTCACACGTCCACAGGGCTGAGGGTCAGAAAACCCTACCTTGACTCATCTTTATCTCCTTCCTGTGGTTTTTGTGTTTTTTCTTTTTTGAGAGGGAGTCTCCCTCTGTTACCCAGGTTGGAGTGCAGTGGCACGATCTTGGCTCACTGCAACCTCTGCCTCTTGGTTTAAGTGATTCTCCTGCCTCAGCCTCCCTAAGTAGCTGGGACTACAGACATGCACCACCATGCCCAGCTAATTTTTTTTTTTAAATAGAGATGAGGTTTTACCATGTTGACCAGGTTGTTCTTAAACTCTTGAACTCAGGTGATCTGCCTACCTTGTCCTCCCCAAGTGCTGGGATTGTAGGCTTCAGCCACCAGGCCCGGCACTTTTTCTCTTTCAAGGTTTTGTTCTTTCTCCAGTTTAATCTTCCTATAATGTTTGGGTCTCAGGAGTTAAGGGGTCAAGAGAGAAAAGGAACCTGGGCATCACTGCTGAGGCTCACCTTGCTCCTGCACCTTCCACAGCCTGGAGAAATGCAACCTGTCAGGGGCCAGCTGTCAGGACCTGGCCTTGTTCCTGATCAGCATCCGACAAGTAACTCGACTGTGCCTGGGATTTAATCGGCTCCAAGACTCTGGCATAAAGCTGTTGGGTGCTGCCCTGACTCACCCCGAGTGTGTCTTGGAGAGGCTGGAGTAAGTGTTCCCTGGCTCCACTTCTGGAAATGACCCTGTGCACACAGATAGCAAGAGCAATGCTTTCTTCACTTGAGAACTATTTACAGCATTAAAAAGTAACATTCATTGAGTAATTACTGTGTGCCGGGAATTGCTCTGAAACAGATTGTGAGTGGCATCCTGGGTTTCTTGGTTCCATCTCTGGCAGTTATGCCGAGAAACTTAATTTCCACAAGGACCCTAGGAAGTGATGAATTTTTTGATCCACCGGTATGTGAGCTCCTGGCAGAGATAGAACGAGGCCTCAAGGTCTAGGTGGTAGATAGGACAGATACACTTCCTACTCAGGTGGGAGATGGTTTTATGAGTGACATGTAAAAACAATAGATACAAAGAAAAACAAAGGAGAATGAGAGTCAGATGACAGGGGTGGGGTTGATGTCCCAGCAGAGTCTTGTCTCACCAACCTTTGTGAAGAGGTGAAACTCCAGCAGAGACTCGGATGAAGCAAGGGAGGCAGCTGTATGCAGAGAAGGAGCAGCAGCGTGAAAGGCCTGAGGTTGGAAGGAGCCTGGCGTGTTGGAGGAGCAGGGAGGAGCTAGCATGGTTGGGGTAAAGTGAGTGAGGGTGGCAGTGGTGGCAGGTGGAGGTGCCTGGGATGTGCTGGGCTGTGTAGGAATCTGTGTTTTGTTTGGAGTGACATGGAAAGCCTTCCTTGGCTTGGAAGGGGGACGTTATCTTAATCTGACCTACTTTGAAAGGTAGTGCAGGTGCTGTTGAAGGGTAGACTGCAGTGGGGACAAAGATGCAGTACACGCAAGAAATGGGACTCCTGTCTACCAGGCGAGAGGATAGGAGGGAGTGGCCCGTGGGGTGGCTACAGGAGTTTGGGATAGATCGGAAGGCAGTGTTGGAGAATTTCAGAGGCGGGAGACACCGCTGAGGTTGCAGAAGGAGTTTTGGTGTACCCGGCCCAGCTCAGATTCGCATCCAAGATGGCTGAGTGCCCCACAAAGACAGGGCTTGACTTTTTATATGTGAAGTACACAGTGGCGCTAAAATGAGTTTGCAGGTGCAGAACAAAGGCAATTCATCAAGCAGTGACAGGCACCTAACTGAGGCTCACATATGACTGTCGCTATGAGACCCAGACGTTCACTGTGTGTAGAGCTCAAGGGTTCTAGCACAGGCCCTGTCTATTGCCCTCTGCTGCAGCGCCCAGAAGGCGGGCCTCTTGGCTGCTTGCACATTCCTGATGACCTTCGCTGTGTTTAAGAAACTTAGAGTTATCAGCTGTAGAGAACAAGAATGCAAGAACTCATTAACTTATAAAACTTGCAAAGTAGGTTACAATTCCACAGGAGGGGGAAGGACTCATAGAAGAAAGTTTAATTCCTGCTTCTCTTTGCTGCATTAATTTTATTTTTGTATTATGTTGCTTTAGTTTTTCTTCTCCCTCTTCAGTACAGCTAAGAGGGTTTGCTGATGGATTCCAGGTGGTTTAGGAGGGAGGGTACCAAGAACACCTCCCAGAGGATGAGGTTGGCAGCTAGGGAAAGGATGGGACCGTTCTCCAACACAGGGAATGTTGGGGGCAGAGCAGGAGCTGGTGAAAGCGTTTGGGTTGGGTCGCAGGAGCTCAAGATGCCTGTCCAACAACCATGCAGAAGACTGTATGGGAGCAGTCGTAGGCAGGACTGCAGGCGTCAAGAGGACTGCTGGGTGGGGATGAGAGCCCCTGTGCAGTGGTGCACGTAGTGAGACGCTTCAGAGCTCCTCTTCCCCAGCTGCGTGGTGCTTCTCTGGTGCAGGTGTGGAATAGAGGGGAAGCTGGGTTTTCCTCAGACTGGACAATTGTCAGGTGAGTACAAAAAAACGCAGAAAAGGCCGAGGGCCTCTAGGTGTCACCAAGTCAGTTACCGTGGAACTGTAACCGAGAACCACAGACTTCGAACCAGCAAAGGAGCAAAGGGCCGGTGCTCATTCAGCACTGAGTCTCCATGACCGGGAACGTCAATAGGTGATTCATATATATAATGTGAGTTAATAATGTGTGTAATTATGTATGTGATCATGATACAGTGTGTAGAACTGTAACACCATTATAATCATAACTAATTATAATTAGTATTATAACCCTAATATAACTTATAACCCTAATATATTTTAACTTTATTATAATCCTAGTAATTAGTACAATTATAATTGTGTTAGTTCTACACATTGGAACATGATCATACACATACAATTATTATAATTAGCTGTAATTATATAATCACAACTATAATTATGTAAAAAATTATATATTTAATTATAATTATGATTAAATTATAATTTATAATGTAATTGATTGTAATTATATGCATATACATGTATAATTATAACATGTATCATAATGTGAAATGCAATGAAATATGTATTATGTAATATTTATATTACATATTATGTAATTATAGTTGATATTTAACATAATATGATAGTTTATGACTACCTATATTTTTATAAAACTAACATGGTAACACAAACATTATGCAGTAGATACATATCTGATATATGACATCTCCATTTGTGATGTAATTTATCTTCCGTAACCTGAACACTGCCTGTTTGCCGAGCGCTGTCCCAAGCACATGTATTTGCTCACGTATCGGTCGCTGACAGCTCTGATAAACCATCCTGCTGCACTTTAGGATGGAGGGCAATGAAGACTGAAGGGAGAGCAGCAACTTGTTGACGGTCTCCCAGCTGCCGATGTAAAAGCCTGTTTGGACCCACAACCAGCTGGCTCCACAGCCTGGGGTTTATCGCCACTGCCTTGGAGCCTTGAAAGTTTTTTTTCCTCCATCTTTTCCTAAACCAACCACTAATAAGCACAGATTTGGTGTGCTCATTGCAGAAATCTGGACTGAGGGAGGGTTATGGTACGCAAGATACTGGCACAGCCTGGGTTGGTGTCCAGCTGGAAAGAAAGACACAGTGGTTCAGGGAGCTGCTGCATGGGTGGACCTGGGGGGCCTGAGGCTCGGCCCTGGGTGCCTGGGTCTGGCCTGCTTTCCTGAGCACCTGTCTCTGGCTCTCACCCTGCAGGCTCTGGTTTTGCCAGCTGGGAGCACGTGGTTGCAGGCACTTGTCAGACGCTCTCTTGCAGAACAGGACCCTGATGCACCTGAATCTGAGCAAGAACTGCCTGGGAGATGAGGGAGTCAAGTTCCTGTGTGAAGCCTTGCGTCACCCTGATTGTAAGCTGCAGAGCCTGAAGTAAGTTTTCTTGGCTCCATCTCATTCAGTGGATAGAAGAGAGCAAGGGAAATTGACCCACCAATGCCTGAGTCCCTGATGGGGGCTGAGTGAGGTGTGGACTAGCTCTTTGCTGTAGAGGAGCTTCTGGTTTTCTTGGGGGTATGGTATGGGGTGGTCTCTGTGAGGGGAAAGTGGGATGGCTGTGAACATGTGTGTTTCCGGGGTTCCTTGAGACCAGCACTCAGGTTTTTGTTTCTCTGGGAGGACGCGGGAGTCAGCCCAGAGTCATATGTGCGGCTACACTTCACGGTGAGAGGGCACAAGGGAAATCAGCAAAGGGGAAAGGTGCTTGGGACCAAGTCCAGAGGAAACCAACCCAAGCTCCCAGGAGTCCTCTTTCTGTGCAATCACACAAGACGCACTGAATTCCTCCAGCAACCAGCTGTGGCAATCAGGCAAAGTGTGGTCTACCAGGGCAGCTCATGAGAGACGCTGTGTCCTGAATTTTTACCGGGTGCTGGAAATGTGTGGTTTAGCATGTACCACGACATGAACCACTGCACCTGGCCACTCAGCGTATTTTTTATGCTTCCAGCGGAATTTGAAACTTGAGAGTAGAGAGAAGAGCATATAACCTAATCCATGTTCAAACTTCAACAATTATTGATTCACAGCCTATCCCCTTACATCTAAAACTTCACCAACACTCAGTAATGGTATCGCTGGGTCAAATGGTATTTCTGGTTCTAGATTCTTGAGGAATCGCCACTGTCTTCCACAATGGTCGAAATAATTTCTTCCTCTAAGATTACGTTGAGGCCCATCCCAAGGGTCATATGTCTTCCTTTGTAAATGCAAAGTAGTTTTATATTTGTGTCTGTGTTTATAAGAATGAAGTTGAGTGTGTTTTCAAATGCTGACAACCATTTATATAAATGTCCAGATAAAAAAACCTGTTGATAACACTTGCTGATAGGTTTTTTTGTTTTGTTTTGTTTTTGTTTTTGTTTTTTTACCTACTGCATTTTTTTCCCTACTAACTTGGAGGTGTTCTTTCTTGCTTTTAAAATTTTAATCTTTTTATTATAAATTTACCATCTGTATGTATATTTTGGGATTCAAAGTGTTATGATTATGAATACAATGGAATAATTAAGCTAGTTAACATGCCCATCACCTCAAATACTTTTTGTTGCGGTAATAACATTTGGAGGTACTTACGTTAGCAATTTTGAAAGGCAGAATATTAACTACATTCCCCATGCTGTGCAACAGATCGCAAGGCTGGGTGTGTGTAGTGGCTCACGCCTGTAATCCTAGCACTTTGGGAGGCTGAGGCGGGCAGACCACAGGGTCAGGAGTTCGAGACCAGCCTGGCTAACATAATGAAAACTCATCTCTACTTAAAAATGCAGAGGATGCAGCCAGCCGAGACCACACCATTGCACTCCAGCCTGGGTGACAGAGAGAGACTGTCTCAAAAAAAAACCCCAAAACCTAACAACTATATTCCTACTGAGACTGTTATACCCCTCAACCACCATGCCTAAGCTCTAGGGCAGTCTGGCTGTCTTGGGTTTGATTTGCACGTATCGTTTATCAGGCTGGCAGTTCTCAGACTTGGCCTGTGGTGGTTTAGCCACATGGATATTTTTCAAACCTTTTTTTTTTTTTTTAATGGGTTAAGGATTTTGAATTCCCATGTGCCTTCTCCACAGAAGGGTATCAGCCTTGCAACATTCCTCTCTCCTGCTGTCTCTTCCTCCTTCCTCCTCTCCTCATCCCTCCCCTGTAGTCCCCTATGTTCTCCAGTCACCTGGACTAACTATTTTGAGCTTACTATGGCATAGAAATTCAGTCTGGAAAATGTAGACCTGCCATTAGGGTAGGTTTCTGGTCTCTTCAGCTCTTCGGTTGCACTCGAAGGCTTAGACAGGTGCACTGCGGCCACCAGGCCAACTCGAGGTGCTGGGTGGCAAACACCGAAGAGATGCCCTTCAGGCTGGCACACCTGCAGGGGGCACGGGGGAGAGGGCTGCACTGCTGTGCCATCTACTCTCTTTCTATCACAGGTAAATAGAGCCCCTGGAGGTGTCTGGGTCCTCCTGACTCGCACCCTCCTGATTCGAGGCGTGGGACAAACATCTGGCTTCACAGTCTCTCCTTTCCTTGGATATGAGATGGACAGGTGTGAGCACAGCACACCTTCAGGGTGCAATCACTCTTCCCCCTTCTGTATCTTTTTGTTTTGCAGTTTGTCAGGTTGCTCTTTCACAAGAGAGGGCTGTCAAGAGCTGGCTACTGCCCTCAAGCACAATCACCATGTGAAAATCTTGGACGTTGGAGAAAATGATCTTGGGGATGATGGAGTCAAGCTGCTGTGTGAGGCTCTGAAACCTTCACATCATGCTTTGTACACACTTGGGTGAGCTGATGCTGTTCTCCCCGCAGAGTCTCCCTTCTCTATTCTTGGGGAGATCCAACAGTAGGGTCCCCTCAGGGGTTACAAAGTAAGACAGAGTAAGGACAAAGGCCTCCTTTAAGAAATCTTGGCCAGGCACGGTGGCTCACGCCTCCCAACACTTTGGGAGGCCGAGGTGGGTGGATCACCTGAGGTCAGGAGTTCGAGACCAGCCTGGCCAACACAGTGAAACTTGATCTGTACTAAAAATATGAAAATTAGCTGGGTGTGGTGGCCGGCGCCTGTAATCCCAGCTACTCAGGAGGCTGAGGCAGGAGAATCGCTTGAACCTGGGAGGCGGAGGTTGCAGTGAGCCGAGATTGCACCACTGCACTCCAGCCTGGGCAACAAGAGCAAAACTCCATCTCAAAACAAAACAAACCAAAACAAAATCTCTACTGCTGGATGATAAGCTCTGAGTTTAGAAAGGTGTTTCACTCTTGTTACCACCATCCTTGGTACACTGTAAATACTGTTTCTTCCAATCCGCCCACTGTGGGTGCCAGGTGCTGGGGGGTGGGGTGCAGCCTGCTCTCTGCACTGTGAATCTTCAGTTTTTAACCATCATGCAATGTGTACTCAGCAGACTGAGACGGTTTGTTCTCAAACATAGGATGTTTTGCTAAATGTGGCTGACATGATAGCAATTTCTTAGGTAGGGAATGGCTAAAGGGTTGGTTAATACAATAGCTCAGTGATGTTTTCAGAGAAGGTGTTTATTAGTTCATTTGATACTAACAAATCCTGAGTCGTACTTACCAGCCACGTCAAACCTCTGTTCAGAGATTGTTAAATCTACTTTATTAGATACCATGATTTAAATTATTGGTTTAAACATAAACTAGACTTGTTCTCTCATAGGCCTTAGAGACATGAATAGGTTAATGTTATCTGCAGTGCCAAATTTAAGATAAACACATTCTGAATCAAGTTCATCTTTCAAAAAAATCAATGAAGCAATTTATTGAACTATTTCCTTAAGAGAGACTCATTCCGACTTTTTTCTTTCTAAAAGAAGGGCTTTATGGTTTGTAGTTTTTGTTTTTTAAGATGGAGTCTCACTTTGTCACCCAGGCTGGAGCGCAGTGGTGTGATCTCGGCTCAGTGCAACGTCTGCTTCCTGGGCTCAAGCAGTCCACCCACCTCAGCCTCCCAAGTAGCTGGAACAACAGGTGCATGCCATGACACCACCTGTTTTCTTTTATTGATTATAGAGATGAGGTTTGACCATGTTGCCCAGGCTGGTCTTGAATTCTGAGCTCAAGTGATCTGCCTGCCTCAGTCTCCCAAATTGTTGGGATTGCTGACATGAGCACTGTGCTTGGCCAGCGTGTCATAGTTATTTGTGAACACGGAGATTTCTGCTGTGTTAAACCGATCTTACACACTTTCTCACTTTTGTATTTGTGTTTCTAGTAGCTAGTTCAAATTTGGTATTGTTGAATTTAGAAATAAGATGGAAAAAAGTATAAACAAGGAATAATAGTGCTATTTCAGTTCTTTCATTGATCTAATAAACTCACATTAAAATACTTTGTTTCACATTCTGGCAGGGTAAGTTTTTGTTTACTCCTCCATCAAATACAGTTTAAAGTAGTATCTACCTTTGATAGGCTTGATAGATGGGTTAGATGAGTTAGGTGTAAGTATTATAAGGTGACTGGGTGCAGTGGCTCATGCCTGTAATCCTAGCAGTTTGTGAGACTGAGGCGGGCAGATCATGAGGTCAGGAGATTGAGACCATCCTGGCCAACATTTTGAAAACCCATCTCTACTAAAAATAGAAAAATTAGCTAGGCATGGTGGCACGCACTTGCAGTCCCAGCTGCTCAGGAGGCTGAGGCAAGAGAATCACTTGAACCCTGGAGAAGGAGGTTTCAGTGAGCCGAGATCATGCCACTGCACTCGAGCCTGGCAACAGAGCGAGACTCCATCTCAAAAAAAAAAAAAAAAAAAAAAAAATGGTTCCCAGCATGGAGTAAGATGGAGTAAGTGCTCCACTCTTAAGCACTCTGTTTTAGTAGTTTTTTCCTCTAGATGTGGTATCACTTCTGTAACCTCTGAGTCTCAGAGGACTATCTTTTACGGTTTCTTCCCACCCGCCCCTAGGTTGGCAAAATGCAATCTGACGACTGCTTGCTGCCCGCCTCTTGTCTCTGTTCTCCGCAGCAGTAAGACCCTGGTCAATCTGAACCTTCTAGGCAATGAGCTGGATCCCGATGGTGTTAAGAAGCTATGTAAGGCCTTGAGGAAGTCGACATGCAGGCTACAGAAACTCGGGTAATCCCCACTGACTTTTCCACAGGGAAGAGCCTGCGGAGACAAGGCTAGACTGACAAGGCTTCTAAAGCATGTGCCAGGTTTACATGGCACTCCGTTTCCTCGGGCAGTGCTGGCTGATGGAACTTTCAGTAGGATGGGAATGACCTCTATCTGCACTGTGCACCTGCCGCATAGCCACTAGCTACATCTGATAATTGGGCACTTGAAATATGGTTAGTGTGACTGGGACCTGAGTTAATAGTGTTGTTTTCTTTTGTGAGACAGAGTCTCGCTCTGTCGCCCAGGCTGGAGTGCAGTGGCAGGACAGCAGCTCACTGCAACCTCCACCTCCCAGGTTCAAGCAATTATCCTGCCTCAGCCTCCTGAGTAGCTGGGATTACAGGTGCCTTCCACCATGCTGGCTAATTTTTGTATTTTTGTACAGACAGGGTTTCACCACTGAACTCCTGACCACAGGTGATTCACCTGTCTCAGCCTCCCAAAGTGCTGGAATTACAGGGTTGAGCCACCGCGCCTGGACTGCTCGCTTTCCTTGGTTTTTTTTTTGAGATGGAGTCTTACTCTGCCATCGGTCTGTAGTGCGGTGGCACGATCTTGGCTCACTGCAATCTCTGCCTCCCAGGTTCAAGTAATTCTCCTGCTTCAGCCTCCTGAGTAGCTGGGATTACAGGTGTGCTCCACCACACCCAGCTAATTTTTGTATTTTTAGTAGACACGGGGTTTCACCATGTTGGCCAGGACAGTCTTGATCTCCTGACCTCGTGATCCACTGGCTTCGGACTCCCAAAGTGCTGGGATTACAGGTGTGAGCCACCGCGCCCAGCTATACTTAAATCTTAACACCCATATATGGCTAGTGACTGCCATATTGGATGGCGCCATCCTAGAGACTTCTGGGTATTTTGAGAGCCCACTTAGTTTCATCATTCTTGTACCTGCTCTACATTTCACTCCATAGCCATTTACTCATGGGCCAAGCACCATGGCCTGGTAGGCAGGAGGGAAACAAATGGACGTGAGCCTTGTCCTCATGAGCCTTGAGTTCTCCTCCAGGAGATAACAGGTCTGAGACAAACAAGCCATCTTGTTGTCATGAGCGCTGGGAAAGAATGTCTGGGTTGAGATGTGGAGACAGGAGGGTGATCAGAAGAGCAAGGAGCTTGCCTGAGCTGGTACCATTGATCCTGAGTCCCAAGGAGGCTGGAAGGAGGAGTCCATGTATCAGGAAGGGACCACGAGAGGTGACGAGAGATGAAGGGTGGAATGCACTAAGGATGTTTCAGTAGCACGTGCAAAGGCCCTGAGGTTGTACCAAGCTGTGTGTTGCCCCTTTGAGGCATTGAAAGAAGATCATTTAATTGGAACTCTTTCCACCCCATTCAGTGTTCTGAGAGGAAATCCGAAAGGTAAGCAGGCCCGCTGCAGTGGCTCATGCCTGTAATCCCAGTATTTGTGAGGCTGAAGCAGGAGGATAACTTGGGGCCAGGATTTTGAGACCAGCCTCGGCCACATAGGGAGATCTGTCTCTACAAAAAATTTTTAAAAATATTTGCTCAGCATGGAGGCACACACCTGTGGTCCCAGCAACTTGGGAGGCTGAGGTGGGAGGATTGCCTGAACCCAGAAGTGGGAGAATGCAGTGGGCTGTGATCATGCCACTGCACTCCAGCCTGGGTACCAAAGACCCCCTCTCAAAAAACGCTGGGGGGTGGTGGAGAAAGGAAAGCACTTAACAGTTGTTACTAGGTACATTTCAGCCGAAGTCATCTCAGATGCCAAGAAACCTTGCTTATTGTCAGAAGCGAGTCAAAATCTGCACATTTTGATTTAAGATACGATGTTGCCAACTTCACACTTGAGTGGTGTATTTTAAAAAGGGCTCCCGGGCCGGGTGCAGTGGTTCACGCCTGTCATCCCAGCACTCTGGGAGGCCGAGGTGGGCGGATCACCTGAGGTCGGGAGTTCAATACCAGCCTGACCAACATGGAGAAACTCCAACTCTAGTAATAATACAAAATTAGCCGGGCATGGTGGCACATGCCTGTAATCCCAGGTACTCGGCAGGCTGAGGCAGGAGTACGGCTTGAATCCGGGAGGTGGAAGTTGCGGCGAGCCAAAATCGCACCATTGTACTCCAGCCTGGGCAACGAGAGTGAAACTCTCCAAAAAAGAAAGGGGATGGGGGCTCTGGGACGGCGATTGTTGGAGTTGAAGCTTCTCTATGGTCAGTCACGCATGCGTGCAGAAGGGACCTTCTGACTGGGTGCCCAGACCCTTGCTTACTCTTGAAGAGAACGCTCAGCTTTTATTTTCCAAAAACTGCCAGACACAAGTTGCGAGGAAGTGCTTACATGTATTGAGTGTCAGTGGCCTGAGTGACCCTGGCCTGCCCACGAGGTCTCTTGTGTTATCTTCACCGTGGTTTCTTCAATCTCTGCCTTTGTGGTTGTGCCTTTTCTCTGTGGAAAGGGGTTCCACGTGCCATCAAACTTTATCCCGACATCTATGGGTAAGGCTACGGAGGTGGGAGGTCCCACTCAAAGGGTAAGCAAAAGTTACCCTTCATTTATTTTAGTCTTTTTTTTGAGACGAAGTCTTGCTCTGTCGCCAGCCTTGAGTGCAATGGTACGATCTCAGCTCACTGCAACCTGCACCTCCTGGGTTCAAGCAGTTCTCCTGCCTCAGACAGTTGAGAAGCTGAGATTACAGGCACCCGCCATCACACCCAGCTAATTTTTTGTATTTTTAGGAAAGACAGGGTTTCACCATGTTGGCCAGGCTGGTCTCAGTCTCCTGACTTTGTGATACACCTGTCTCAGCCTCCCCAATTGCTGGGATTACGGGCGTCAGCCAGCGTGCCTGGCCACATTTGTTGGTCTTTTTATGGGGCACCTTAACCTTTATTTTGCTTTGTCACTTTGCCACTTTACTCTGCACCACGCCTGTACTTTCACTTCTGACACTTCCCTGCTTCCATCCAGTCCACCGGTGATGAGCACCAAGGTTGGGTCCATGTCATTGTGATAGTGAATAGGGCTGTGATGAACTCACAGGCATGTGGTCCATATACACCATGGAATACTACACAGCTACAAAAAGGGATGAAAGCAGGTCCTTTGCAGCAACATGGATGTAGCTGGGGCCCATTAGCCTAAGTGAATTAATGCAGGAACAGAAAACCAAATATCACATGTTGTCTTGAGTTGGAGCTAAATAATGAGTACATATGGACTTAAAGATAGTGACAATAGGCCAGGCATGGTGGCTCACGCCTGTAATCCCAGCACTTTGGGAGGCCAAGGTTGGCGGATCAACTCACGTCAGGAGTTCGAGACCAGCCTGGCCGACATGATGAATCCCTGTCTCTACTAAAAATAGAAAAGTCAGCCAGGCATGGTGGTGGGCACCTATAATCCCCGATACTCAGGTGGCTGAGGCAGGAAAATTGCTTGAACCTGGGAGGCGGAAGTTGCAGTGAGCCGAGATCACACCATTGCACTCCAGCCTGGGCAACAGAGACTTGGTCTCAAAAAAAAAAAAAAAAAAAAAATGTTGACAGTAGCCACGGGGGACTCCTGGAGCGAGGAGGGTGGGAAGGCTGCGAGGGTTGAACTACCTCTCAGGTACTGTGCCCAATTCCTGGGTGATGGGATCATTCACACGCCAGATTTCACACAATAGACCCCCATCACAAACCTGCACATCTTCCCCTGAACCTCAAAAATTCATCACTTCTGAGTTTGCTCACTGCTTCTAAACTTCAGTACTGTTTTTCTGCAGGCTTCAAAAAGACTTGCACAGAGTAGTGAGAGAGGAGATACAGACATCACAGAAGGAGCACTGTCTGAAGGTCAAGTGTACTTGGGATTTTAATGACCTTGAAGACAAGTGGTGGTGGTGATGCCACGGACCAGATGCCACAGGGCTTGACCACGGATCTTGGAGTAAAGCCACCAGGACCTCCTGGCCTGTGTGCCGTTCCAGTGTCCCCATCATGGGGACAAATGAGCTGTTCCCTGCAAGAGGCTTCAGTACAGTCGTTGGAAGTGGCCCGTTTCACGCCCAGGTCTGGAATTTGTCTAATACTGTGTCTCGTCCCCAAGATCATAAGTTGGCTGTGCCTTCAGTCTTATTTATGTCCTCCTCGGTATGTTTCTAATTCTTAGAGGTGTGGAGAGAATTGAATAAAGCAAAGGATATAAGAATAGCTCCGGAAAAGCCAAAAGCCTCATTTCTCATGGATTGAGAAGTGGGATCAAAGTGTTTGTAATTCCATAATTATTATACTGTGAGTAAGCCACATAGACATCCAGAACTTCTCCTAATATGCCCTTATCTTATGTTGATTCCTGTAAGAAGTATTAGATTCTGCATTGACTTTTTTCTTTTTTAGATGGAGTGTCACTGTGTCACACAGGCTGGAGGGGTACGGTGGCACCATCTTGGCTCACTGCCACCTCCACTTCCTGAGTTCAAGTGATTCTCCTGCCTCGGCCTCCCAAGTAGCTGGGATTATAGGCATGCACCAACACACCTGGCTAATTTTTGTATTTTTAGTAGACATGGGGTTTCGCCATTGGCCCAGGCTGGTCTCGAACTCCTGGCCTCAATTGATCCACCTGCCTCGGCCTCCCAAAGTACTGGGATTGCAGGTGTGGACCACAGCACCTGGCCTGCATTGATTCTCATCTCCCACTCCTCATTACGATGTACTTTTCTGAGTTTATTCCATCTTCCGCCCTTCTTTACCTGAAACCTTTTCACCATGCTCTGTAGAAACCAGCAAACTTATATTTAGACAATAGGTTGAAACGGTTCCTTTTATCGTATTCTGAAACCTGCCTCTCCTCTGAGGACATTGCTTCTCTTACAGCACCTTTGGGTGTGACTGTCTTGTCCAGGGAGCCCAGCGGTTCGAGGGGGTGGTCTCTTCCCCACCTGCTGCTCTGTGATCCTTCTCCCCACCCTCTGTGTCCCTCTCAGCCTCTATCCTCCTGTCTT